CACTCACTCCTGGTGTGTTCGGACTAAGGGTGTTTGCTTCCTTGTTCATTGCACACACTCATTGTAGTCAGAAGCCTGCAATCTAATCGCTTTCTGTCATTCCAAGAGCTATTGGCCCCAAATTATGTCTTCAGTCCAGACTTTGCTATACTGCAGACAGATGTCTAAAAGACTTTCCACTTTCTTCTCTTTTCTGGTTTTTCAAGACAAGATTTCTCCATGTAGCCCTGGCTGTCCTGGAACTCACTCTTGTAGACCAGGTTGGCCTTGAACTCAACAGAGATCGGCCTGCCTCTACCCTCTGAGTGCTGGAACTAAAGGAGTGTGCCGCCACCGCCCGGCTGGAGTTTCTACTTTCTACCTCAGGCCTGAAATCTGTGCTTCATTCAGTGTCCCCATCATTGTCCTTGATGTCCTTCGTAGTCACATGGCTTTCTTTCTGACCCCAGTGTACTTCCTCCAGTCATTCACAAATCTCAACTCCCTACCTAAACGTACCCCAGAACCCAGCCTCTCTCCTGGGTCCACTCCAACTGCTTTGCTCTGAGTCATTCGCGGTTGGCTAGCTCCTGGATTATGCTCAGAGCGTCACAAATGCACACGTTATCCTCTTCTCTTTTCTAATAATAGCTGCTGGGAGGGGAGGCCTAAGATGCAGCTCAGTCTAGTTTAGCCTATGAGAAGCCTGGGATTTGATCCCCAGCACCGCACAGACCATCTTTCAACTCACATTTGAGAGGTGGAGGCAGCAGGATAAGGATTCCCAGCTGAGTAGTGAGTTTGGGGCCAACACAGACTACTCAAGACCATTTTAAACAAACGACATTTAGAAAACAACAAAAAGCTCCGTTTAGGTGGGGTACATTACCTACGATTTCATTTCAGAATAGGAAAAGCTTGTTGGCTATAAAAAATAAAGGGGAGCTGGAGAGATGGCTCAGTGACTAAGAATGTGTGTTGTTCTTCCAGAGGACCCTGGTTGATTCCCAGCATCCACGTCAGGTGGCTTACAACTGCCAGAAGCTCCAGATCCAGGGGAATCCTGAGACCTTTCTATCTTCCATGGGCACCTACATGCATGAAATCCACATAAACTCACGAAGACACACCCATTTACATAAACAAGAAGTAAATAAATATTTGAAAATAGTAAGGGAGACTGTTTGACCTAAGTGCTAAGATCTTCGGGTTTGTATGAAGTCATGGATGCTGGGCATGGTATCGTGAGCCTTTAATCCCAGCACAAACCCACCTGGTGAGTTCCGGGACAGCCAGTGCTGTTAAAAAAAAAAAAAAAAAAAAAAAAAGCAGCAGCAGTAGCTCCAGGTAGTTTTTGTCAACCCAGAGCTTGGCTCACTCAGCCTACTTCACCCTGCAGGGCAGAAGTCAATTCTTAGCTGTTGAGCCATCTCTCAATCTTCTTGCATTTGACACAAGCCATGAGGGAGGCCAGCCTGGCCTACATAGCGAGTTCCAGGCCAGCCTGTGCTATAGAGGAAGACTGTCTCAAAAACAAACACAAAAAGAGACCATTAGGCCGAGGTTTGACCTCAAGGCCAAAGCCCCTTCCATAATGCTCTGCCTTCTATTTCTTTGGGCATTGGGAACTCTTGTGAATATAGACTATTCTAAAGCATCCCACCCTGTGGCAGGATGGTGACGATACCAGGGGGAGGAAGGCAGATGGTCTAGATTCATGTCTCAGTCTCATCACACCATCTCCTAACTACGACTTTTGAGGATTAAATGAGTTACTAGTACATGTAAGGGTGGTCTGCACACCGAACATATTCAAGACGGCCTATCACTAGCCGTCAGTTCCAGATGAGTCCCCGTAGTCCAGCGCTGGCTGATTCAATGCTGCACTCGGTTCCTCAGTGAAAAACTTGTTAAGGGCTGGAGTTGGCTCAGTACGAGCTCCTCTTACAGAGAACCCTGGTGTGGTCCCTAACACCCAGGCAGCTCCAGAGGATCCTACGCCCTCTTCAGGCTCCTATGGGCACTGCACACATGTAGTGCAGGCAGTACACATACACATGAAGACTAATGTATCTTTTAAAAACTTAGCCAGAAGGTGCTCAAGTCACTTTAGGGGACGACTCAAACAGCGGGGAATTCACTATTCAGCATGCCAGGGCCAAAGCAAACAAGAGGGGCTAGGGATGCCACTCAGCTGGGTGGCAAGTGCCTACCTAGCACGTATGTGTCCTGAGTGGGAGCTTCGGCATCACCTGGAAGGCAGAAAAGAGGTATTCTACCCAGTCCCCTTTAGAATCCCCACACTGGTGACTCACAAAATGAGCCCCATGTATTCTTCCTCCTTTTTCTCAAGGGCTTCCCTTCTTCTGACAGGATGCAGGCGCTTCGTTTTGGACAATCTTCCTTTCAACCCAGAACTACTTTGAAATATTTTGGATCATATAACCTATAATTAGTAGACTGAAGGCAAACAATGAGATTCTATAAAACTTTACGGACTCCAAGAATAAAGGAGAAAAAAAAAAAAAAAAAAAAAAAAAAAAAAAAAAAAAAAAACAGCACCCCCTGAGCCAAGGAGACTGGTTACATCCTTGCCCCACCTCCTGTAACATTGATGGGACCAAAACAGCACCTCCTAGAGGTGGAAAGGAGACAAGCAATCCACAACTGTGAAACCAACATCAGGCATGGTGCTAATAAACACACTTACTTGTGGATAATAGGCCTCGGAAAAAGCAAACAGAATAGAATCACCTTAATGGTGGGATCATGGGTAATTTTCTTTTGTTTATTTGTATTGTCTAACTAATGAATTTTTTAAGACATTGGAGATTGACCCAGATGTTCACACATGCTCAGCAGATCTCTTCTGAGCTACATCCTCACCCAAATTGTGTATTTGGAATAGGGGAGGGAAACGTGAGTCCAATGTGCCCAAGAGAGGTAGACATCAAGGCAGTGAGTGGCATGCACCCTCAAGCCAGGACACCTGCTAGGCGACAATGGACAAGGTACCTAATCTCTCTGCAGCACTATTCTGACCTATTGAAAACAGCAAAACAAACCAGAAAAGACAGGGAGTTCTATCTACCTGAGGCTGTCACTATAAATACAAAGGCTTTTGCACAGTGGCACAGGGCCTGATGTGCAGGAATGCCACCTAAGTGCCCCCTGTGGCTGCTGGCATTACCACCCATGCTGGTACGAGGGACTCTGCAGACTGGAGTACTAATGGGATAGGTGGGACCTGATTAGGAATGTTGGTCACAGAGATCTCTGAAGTAACAGAAGAGACAGGCATGCCCTTCAAACCAGCAGAGGGAGAGTCAAGTGCCAAATCCAGGTGATGAGGATGACAAAGTGTTATTTTAGAGTAAACATTTTTACATGTATTTATTGTCTGTATGGTAGGGATGCACATGACATGCGCGCCCAACTTGTCTCTTGCTTGTCCTCATTCCGCCCATGGCGGCCAGGAGATGTCTGGTCCCTGGAACTAGAGTTCCAGGCAGTGTGAGCTGTAGGTGCTGGGAACTAAACCAGGGTCCCTCTGTAAGAGTTAACAAATGATTCTCTAACTGCTAAGCCATCTCTTCAGACTCCTAATTTTTGGTTTTTCGAGACAGGTTTCTCTGTAGCTTTGGAGCCTGTCCTGGAACTCACTCTGTAGACCAGGCTGGCCTCGAACTCAGGGATCCTCCCACCTCTTCCATGGGAGTCCTGAGACTGAAAGTGTGGGCCACCACACCCAACCTGTCCCCACCCATTTCCTTTCACAAAAAGATGACGCACAGAGGACTCCTTCCGAATGGGCATCACCGTTTATTGGAGTTTGTGTTGGGAACTGAACAGAGCACATTGTGGAGAAGAGGAGAAAGGGAGAGAAAAGAAGTATGTTTCTAAAGATTTCATTTCTTAAAACACTTTATGGTTTCAAATCTTTTTTTACCCCAAAGGAAATTGAAAGAATTCAAGTATGTCGAATAGGGAGCAGTAATACAAAGGGTGTCTGCCCGCGTGCGCCGGTGTGGTAGCATTTGTCCAGGCATGTAAACAAGTAGACAGATCTCCACATTTCTTGTCAAATCTCCCCATTTTTTTTAATCCCCCCCCCCTTTTTTTTTTTTTTTTTTTTTTTTTTTACTTTGGTAAGGCCAAACCCCAAAAGGACACAGCATACAAATGAACCCAAGGTTGAGGAATCTCTTTACCCTCAGAGGATAATGGTATAGTTTTGGAATTGTCACAAAGGATGAAAAAACAAAAACAAAGCACAGCCCTCACCTCCCCAAACCCCACCAGTCAAACAAGTCCCGATCGTTCAGCCATCCTGTCGCTGCACCTGTTCCTCAGGATCTTAATCCAGGGCTCGGTAGAAGGGCCAGGGCTCTCTTCATTGCATTTATAATTCAAAAAAAAAGTTTCAAAGGGCTATTTGAAAAGAAAAAAAAGCTGAAATTCAAATTCTGAAAATATCTTGCCTTTTTTATTAATCATGTCATCTAACACCAATTAAAAAAACAGGTATGTGAATATGATATAAAAATACGATCCCAAGATTAACACTTTGTTGCAGGCACAGTTATCTCACAGAATACATGTTTGGAGGGCCGGGAAAGGAGTCTGGTTCTGTTTCTCTTTAAAAAACCCACAGCAGTGCAAGGAGGGTGAGGAAGGGGGAGATTCTTTAGCAGCAAAATGTCCGAGTTCTCTAGTCACATGGAGAAAAAACAAAAGGAAACGAAAGCTCAGGGATGCTGCCCAGACCCACCGCTGTCATCACAGACTTCCGTTGCCACAGCCCCAGGTTGTGACGGGCGAAGGACGGGCTTTACTACACAGGCAATCGTAAAACTCGTCCCTCAAGCTTTTGAATGTTTGTCACTTAAATATATGTACAGCAATCAGGCTCCTCTTCTCATCGTGTCCCTCAGATCTCTACTGTTTGGTCACTCGGGGTGGGCTCTCAGGATCTGGCCACATCTGGTTGCAGGTTTGAGCAGCAGCTTCGAGGTGGATGCTGCTTCGGCCTGGCTGGCTGGCTGGCTGGCTGGCTGGCGTGGCTGGCGTGGCTGTTTCTAGCAGAGACATGCGACAGGGACAGCTTAGTGGTCGCTGCTCTGCTTCTCTCTCATCCATGCTTGAATCTGTTCCTTCAGCTCTGGCACTGAGGGAGAAAAGACAGGGATTAATGGCCCAGACGAGCAGGCTCTTCGGCTTGTAGTTAGAAAGAAAAGGCCATTCATTCCCTCTGCACACTGAGGACTGTGGAAGAAACAGTCACAGAGAGGGCAGCATTTACAGCAAAAGCGAGCTGAGTGCTTTGTGTCTTTTCCATAAAAAGAGCTTAAACTGGGTACTTTCTGGATTCAATGTCCCTGTTTTTGATGGTGGTGCTAGGGACTGAACCTGGGGACGTATACATGCTAGCAAGTACCTGGGATTAGAGGTCCCAGGGAACCAGGCTTGCCCCCAGTCTCCCTTGTGGTCTGCTGCACTCACTGGCACTGGCATCAGCACTGCAAGGCAGGCTGAGGCCCCTACCTGGTTCCAGCATGTTCTCAGTCAACATCTGGCGGTTGAAGGGGTCAGTGGGGGAGTTGAGCAGATGCCGCAGGATGATGGATCGGTCCATTATGGTGCCAGAGGGCAGTCTCACTGGGTCAGTCATCAGGGTGTCCATCAGAGGGTCTGAGAAGACAAAGCAGAGCAAACTAACCCAACAGTGGAGGCTAATACTAAGGAAGGCACTATTTCTACCAGTGAGAGAGCTGCGGAACAGCCCCTCAGGCCCCGGCATGGGGGAGGGGGAGCAGCTCACGGTGAAAGCATACACCTTGCTTTCTGCCACTGCTGCTGCAAGGAGAAAATGGCAAAAATGGACAGCCAGGCAGCAGGCCCCTGAGACGGGACCCTTTGCCTGAGAACACAGGCTTTTCCCTTTACAGAGGTAGAGCTCCTTTAAAGTCTTCATAATTACCTGGTGAAATCACACCAAGGATGCTCATCCTTTTAATCTACAACATGAGCTAAAATTTGTAAACATAGTTTTAGAAAACTCTCAAGAAACACCTATAGCACACCATCAAACAATCAACACAGGCAGTGCCTTGTTGTGGCTTTCAAGGATAATGGCTTCCTTATCTGTTTGAATGTTTGGTCCCCAGTTAGAACTGTTTGGAAAGGATGAGGAAGTGTGTCACTGGAGTGAGACCTGAGGTTTCAGAACCCCATGCCAAGCCTAGCTGTGCTCTCTGGCTGGCTGGCAGCGTGTCTTGATAGAAGCTATCAGCCTCATGCCCTATCACCTGCCGCTATGCTTCCTGCCATATTGATCATGAATAAACCTCTAAAACTGTAAGTAAGGCCCCAATTAAACACTTTCTTTTACAAGAGTTACCTTGAGGTCAGGCAGTGGTAACACACACCTTTAATCCTAGCACTCAGGAGGCAGGGGGGGTCTCTTAAGAGTTCGAGGCCAGCCTGGTCTACACAGTGAGTTCTAGGACAGCCAGGTCTGCACAGAGAAACCCTGCCTTGAAAAAAAAAAAAAAAAAAAGATTGCCTTGGTCACAGTGTCCCTTCACAGCAGTAGAACAGTGACTAAGACATCCCTCTTGACGTCACACACTTCAAATTATACCAACGATGTGAGCACAAGCACACAAACTTGCCTCTAAACTCATCCGGGGCATCGCTGTAGTCAATTTCTGCCCGTGCATTCTTGGCCACTATCTCCTCCACTTTCTCAGCAAGAAGCTTAAACTTCTCTATTGCAATGGTGGATTTGATCCCTGCCTTCCGCATCTTTGAAATGACTTCTTCAAACAGTTCCTTGCTGTAGGATCTCTGCAGAAGAGGAAAGCTCAGGTGAGATGAAAATATACATGACGAGAAAAATGTCCAAGTATTATCCATATGATCTTTTGCTCCTAAAAATCATAATTATAAATTCTATAATCATTTCTTTCCCTTACACAATGTGCCGTGTGCAAGGGTGTATTGAATATAGTTAAAAATGCATAGAGATAGAATGACATGTGCCAACTGTCCAAGGTCATCTATGGAGAAGGCTGCAGGACCCAGAAAAGGGGAATTTTAAGACTCGGGGATCTAGCAAGCATTTACTTTAAAATTTAGCCACTAAAGAGAAAGAAACCTAATTTATTTCAATCTTTGTGGGGCACTGTGGCCCAGAAGCCCATGAAACAGGATAAACTCCAGTTTTTTCACATAATGGTGAGCCCAGATAAAATCAAACACAGGCTCTGCCCATGACTGCTCATACATAGGGGGTTGGTTGCTTCTGTTCACTGTCCATCCTCTAGGCTCACTTAAGCCTGGCACGGTGGCTGTCACTCAAGGGGCTGGAATGGAGCATGGGAATGAGGTTTAGCCTGGGCTAGATGGTGAGGCCTATCTCAACAGATCACACTACCATACAAACAAAAAAAACAGAAAAACCATATCCACCAAGCACAATAGCATACCGGTCACTGAATCCAAAACTGTTTAATGCCAGATTTTCTACAGCACTGAACCACTCCAATGAGCAGGGGAGGGACAAGGGCCTGGGAGCATTTGTAACATTTGTAAGGGAGCGGAAAGGTGGGCAATCACCCAACCAACCTGGACATGAATTCAGGAAAATTCCTAACCTGCCCACGCCAGATTCCTCGGTGTGAAATGACACTGACTTACCTCTGAGGGACCCAGTGTGTATATAATACCGACACCACAAAACATACAAGAAGAGCATGTTTTACAGTGGCTATTTGCTGACTTAGGACAGGACACAAATCAAAAAGGCAAATGGGTCCCCCTGATACCCTAGACCATGACCGCAATCTCTAATCACACAGGGCAACCATCGAATGGAGAACCAAACCAAGTCCTACCATCAAGTAGATAAATGTCCATGACTTTGTTCAACTGATAACTCCACCATCCTTCCCTGGCCTGTGAGACTTAGCGAGGACACAGGAAGGAGCTGTGTGCCAGACAACCCGATACCATCTGCCCCGGATGGCCTTCCCTACTCCTCAGTGAAGAGCAATGGGCCAGCCTGGCTTACAGGGGCTTCTGCTTCCCTGGGGTGGGGTGTGTGTGTCCTGAACCTACTGCCTGTCCTGGAGCTGAGCAGGGTCCACACTGCCCCTCCCTATGGACTCATGTCCTAGCTGCACTCCTCTCCAGTACTGGACTGAAACTCTTCCTATTTCCTCTCTGTCTCTGATTCTCACAGGGATCTACCTACCTGTGCCTCCTGAGTGCTGCATTTGTAAAGCTTCTGTTTCTAAGTGACTACACATGATCCCTTACCCTCGCGCACCACACCTGTGATCCCAGCACCAGGGAAGCAGCCAGCTTCACAGAGACACCATGTCTCAAAACAAGAGAACAACAAAAAGCATCAACACATGCCAATTACAGTGCAAGAAGGCCATTATTAAAAAAAAGAAAGAAAGGGGAAAAAAAGGCAGTGTGTGGTAGCATACACATGTGATTCCAGCGCCCAGAAGGCCGACACTGGAGGATCTTGGGTTGAAACCCAACCTGTCTCAAAACCGTAGGAAAATGGAAGTGTGTACAATTGTTGTATTCTGTCTGACATTACCCCTTTGGATTAGATATAGGAGAGAACTCTTTAGAATGTGTAAGGATGGGGAACATGGTATGTATTGTACTGGGATATTTTATGTGCGCCAAGATAGACTTGGGAACCAGCATCCCAGCTTCTGGGCCTTTAGATAGGAAGGGAGAATATGGGATGGACACGGGGCTAGACTGCTAGCCGTATGGCCCCCTCTACGCCATGCTGTCCTTGCTTTAAAGCAAAGCATCGGGTAGAAACTGTATCACAGAGTTCTATGACATGAAATGAATGGAACATGAGGAGCTGTCAGAAGTGATGCACAGCTAATAAAAAGGAGCTACTACTACATGGACGATGTCCCAGACGTCAGGAGTTCAAGGCCAGCCTAGTCTACATGAGACCTTACTTCAAAAGATGTGGGATAAAACAGCAGCAGGACCAGGGGCTACGGAGGGAAGGAGCCCTTTGCTCCCTGTTTCAGGACAACCCAGACTAATGACTAGGATGAGGCTTTGCACTTCGAGGTGCTCCACCACTACATTCCCAGCTCAATTTTATTTTCAGAGATGGTTTCATAAAGTTCAGGTTAGCCTTGAACTTGTGACCATCCTGCTTCTAGCCTCCAGGGGAGCCCCTTTTGTGACGACCGTGACATCACAGAGGGAAGGTGTGGAGAATAGTATGACCTGTACTGGTGGCTGATCTGACCCCTGAGTCTTGGGATGAAGGAGCAGGAGTGATGTGAACATCAGTGGGCTTTGGCCGGAAGGCACGCTCATGGCAGCAGTACCAGGGAAGACTGCATTTCCCGAGAAATGCAAACAGTGCTTGGAGACTCAATCTATTTGGGGCCAACTCTGCTCTTTTCTCCCAAAGAAGCAGCCAGTTCATTTCCTCCTGGACCAGAGGTGCTCCTTTGCTTCATTCACCGTCACTGTGCCAAAAATGTCTGAAACGGAAACTTAGATTCCTGCACAGCTCAGTGACAGGATGAGGCCCCTGTGAAGGGCCTCACTTAGCACTCACCTGGTCATCAGCAATGGCTTTAGCGAAGCGAGCACAGTCCAGCTGCAAGTAAATATCTGTTAGTTGGTCCAACAGCTTCTTTGGCTCAAAACCGTACTTCTCTGGGTTTTCTACCTTCAGGTCCCGGCACTTGGGTCCACACAGCTGCTGCAGGTTAAAGTTCAGCATGGCTGCTAATCGGGGTCCAAGTTCCTAGGAAATGACAGGTAATAGGACAGGTGAATCTGCTGAGAATGCTGGGGACCAGAAACTCCCATCTCAGTGGAGGAACAGGAAATCAGCTGGTTTAGTCCTCCAAGAATCTCTTGAATGTGCTGAGCAGCATAAGCTAAAGGAAACTAGCATTGTAATCAAACCTTTTTTCCACTACTATTTTCTTACCTTAAAACCCTCGTAACGAAATGGTATAAACTGCATAGAGATGAATGCCCATGAAAGTCTTCTGTAAAGATATATACTTTTTTAAAAAGAGGTATTTTATTTTTTATGTGCACATTTGTCTGTGTGAGGGTGTCAGATCACCTAAAATGGAGAGCTGCCATGTGGGTGCTGGCATGTGGGTGAACCTGGGTCTTCTGAAAGAGCAGTCAGTGCTACTAACCACCTAGCCCCCTCTCCAGCCCAAGATACATACTTTTTCAAAAATAATTTAAATTTAACTTATTTTATGTGCATCTGTGTAAAGGTGTCAGATTCCCTAGAATTAGAGTTACAGAGAAAACAGCCTGTATGTCTGTCTGTGTAAGGGTGTCAGATCTTGGGGTTACAGCCAGTTGTGAGCCACCATGTGGGTGCTGGGAACTGAACCTGGGTCCTCGGGAAGAGCAGCCAGTGCTCTTAACCACTGAGTTGTCTCTCTGGCCCCAAGATACACACTTTAATTATAAGCATCACTCCAGATTCACCCAGAGAGGTAAAGGAAGGAAGATGACTCACAATTCTGTCACTCTGCACTTATGAAGCATTACTTCACACATGTTACTGTAAATTTCAAAAGTCCCCCACATTCAAGTATATGCCATTCTTATTTATTTCTGAAGAGAGACCCAGAAGGAGGAGGTGATGTTTGTCAAGATCTAGTCAGTGTGATGAATTAAACAGCCACAAAATCAAGACAAAAGAGCACAAGAGAGCCACAGGGCAACGGTGTGGGCTTCCGAGCTCAGAGAATAGCTGCTGTGGGTCAGAGCGTAAACACTGACCAAGAAAGAGTCTTTAAATAAGGGGGTTCTCATGAAATGACTGGATTCCCACAAATCTGATAGACACACAGCTCTGCAGAGCCTCTTGGTCTACAAAGCACAGCTACAGTCCAGTGTGGAGCAGCCGGGACTGAAGCTGACAGAGCTACAATCCAGTGTGGAGCAGCCGGGACTGAAGCTGACAGAGCTACAATCCAGTGTGGAGCAGCCGGGACTGAAGGGATCAGAGCGGTTAGAGTTGCTGGGGTTCCCTTGCTATAGGAAGTGCCAGTAAAGAAGGCAGAAACGAAGGCTGAAGAGATGGCTTAGCTGTTAACACTTGGTGCTCTTAAAAAGGACAGAAATTTGGTTCCCAACACTCGCATCAGGGAATGCAAAACTGCCAGTAACTCCAGCTGCAGGGGCTCTGACACCATCTTCTGACCTCCAAAGGCACTGGCACACACTGACCCTACCATATCCACACGTAAGTAAAAATAAATCTTAAAAAAGAGAGAAGAGTGGGCAAAACACTATCTCTGGCCAACTCCAGTCACCAAGTTTTGTTTTAATGTGGTCATTCTTTTGTAAATAAAAAACTATTGGAAAACAGCCAGGCTTGTTTATGTCCAGGCTGTTAGCATGAGCATAGCTAGAAAGTTGTCCAAGACAAGCAGTCTGCAGCATCTTTAGAGGACTTACTCTCTGGCCTTTGTAGGAAATGCTAGGAAATCCCCTTTGACACCCTGGAGGGAAAAGCAGGTATGTGGACCTTGAGCTGTTTCTCCCCTGCTACTGTATTGAAATCTGCTTATCAGGAGACAGGAAAAGACCCAGGTTGCAGGCTGCAGACAGGCCTCTGTGTGACAGTGCCTCTGCTGGAGGCAACAGTGAGTCATGTGACAGAACTGGAGGAAATACACAGCAGAGCTTCACATGTGCAAACAGCCGCTGACAGACCTCGGCTCCCTCTTGACTTGCCGTCTCCCCTTGGACTGCCACACACAAAGCACTGCAGCTTCTCACTGGGGCGGTCAAAGCAAGCAGGTCTCTCAGGTTATCATGCTAAGTTTCAACATCAGTAACAGGACGCAGTCTGGGCAATAAGGTCGAACACTGAGCCTGCTGTTAACCTCCCGGAAGCGTCAATCACAGCTTTCAGCTTCCTCAATGTTACAGAGCCACTTTAAAAGCAGCAAAGACCTTTCCCCAATCATTCTCAGTGTCCTCCAAATTGGAATTTGTTACCTTACACTTTTCCAATGCATAGAACACAGAAATCAATAACAATCAAATTGTGTCACAAATCCATAATCCAGATGTGCTGTGTAAACAGAAAACAGAAAGCCATCTACAGTGAGCATTTCAGATTACATGCCAAGGGGCTTCATTTCAGATGGGTAGAGTACCATGTCATGTGTCTCAACTGATATACCTGGGAACAAAATGAGAAAGAATTTCACTACTGACCACTGTGGTTAAAATGAACGACTGTGCTGAGCCCTAGGGGCTGCGTGTGTTGCAACACAGATAACACGAGAACCCCAGTTTCTACTCACTGGCCTGAGGAACGGCTTCTGGACTTGCTTGGTGAGGAGATGGAACATGTCAACGGTTTCAGTCGCCAGGGCGAGATAAGAACGTGAAACACGCTCATCCTGAGCAAGCTGAGACTGCCGGGCCTGCTGCTGATCCTAGGAAACATCAAACAGTCGCCAAAGAAATCTCAGTATCAGCCACCCACTTGTAAAAATGCCAAGCGCAAAGAAAAGCTTGGCTGCAGTGTGATAAAGCCACACTGGGAAGATGACCACACCAGCACATTGTCCTGACAGACTTCCAGGACACACCCGGGACCTGACGAATGCTAAGCACAGGCCCGACCACTGACTGACCTAGACCCCCAGCCCGGCCCATTCCTGACCTCCCATGAGAACAACCACATTTAGTTCCAAGTAGGACGAGTTAGATTATCATAGTACCCGACCCACATACTAGAGCTAGAGAGAGGGGTTCAGTACTCTTAAAACAACTTTCACTTAGTCATCAACATCAACAAAAAATACAGCCAGGAGGTGGTGGCGCATGTGGGAGGCAGAAGCAGGTGTATCTCTGTGAGTTCAAGGTTAGGAGGTGGGAGGAAGGGAGGGAGGGAGGGAGGGAGGGAGGAAGAGAGGAAGGACAAGGAGGAGAAAGGCGAGAGGCAGACACTGGGCTTGGAGAAATGGCAAAGTTAAGAACACCAGATGCTCTTGCAGAGGACCCCGGTTGAATTCCCAGCACGTGCACAGTGGCTTATAACCCCCTGTAACTCTGGTTCAGGGATTTGAGGTCTTCTGGCCTCCACAGGGACCACGTATGTGTGTGGTGCAAGCTAGCACATGCAGGTAAACAGTCACACATGTAAGTGCCTGCAGATGGGACTCTGCACCACCAGGCTGCTGGCTGTACCATAAACCACCAGCGTGCCCACCTATGGCACCACCCTCCCCTCCATTCTCCACAGGCTGGCAAAGGAGACAATTAACAGCTTGACACATGGGAAAGTCAACAGGCAATGAAGGCTTTGCACCCCACTAAGACTTATCATCGTTTGAGACAGGGTCTCATGTGACACAGGCTAGCCACCAAAGAGCTACACGGCTAAGGAAGACTTTGAAGTTCTCAACTACTGCCTCCAGCACTCTATTGCTGGGAGTATATGCGCACACCACTATACCCAGATCAGCAGACTTGTGTGTGTGTTCACATGTGTAGGGAAAGCATGTCAAGGCCAGAGGATATCTGTAGGTCTTGTTCCTGGGTTATCCCATCACACACACTTAAAAAAAAAAAAAAAGTTTCTTTCACTGGCTTGGAACTTACCAAGTAGACAAGGCTAACTGGCCAGCAAGCCAAGGGTCTCACTGTCTTTACCTCCTAAGCAGCAGAATTACAACTGTGTACCACCAGACCCAGCGTCCATGCCTTTTTTTGTTCCCAAGGGGCGGGGCGGGGCAAACAGCTGGAGAGCTGCTATGGCCAGTGAGCACCCTTGGCACGGGTGCTACAATCCGTGCCTGGTAGAGACTCTGCAGTAAGGCTTGGGAACTGCCCATTTCTCCATGGTCTAGAATGAGCCTATTGAGAAACGGCTGCACCAGGAAGAGGACAAGGATAGCCAGAGTGCAATGTCCTCAATGTGAGTCTGAGTGCCACATTCTTCATTTGTAAATACTTTGTGGTCTCTAATGCAGGCCGAGTCTGGGGCAAGACACACAGACAGACAAGGAAAATTAAGGAAACACTTATTCTGGAACCTGCAAGATGCCTGAAACACTAACACAACTGATCACACAAAATCATTTATAGACACTAGTGCTCTAGACATAAGGCATCTCAAAAACTATTCTTGCTTAGGGCCAGAATGTGGGTGGCCTTGAGTATAACTGTGTTAGAACTCACTCCTCTTGAATCCCAAATCTAAGCAGTGGACGTCACAAAACCACCTCGGTTACATTTACAAAAGGAAATCTTTTTAAGATGAAAGAAATAAACAAAACAGTCATCCATCCATCATCCGTCCATCAATACATTTTATTTATTTTTAATGTGTGTGAGTGTTTAGCCTGCAGGTTTGTCAGTGTACCGTGTGTATACATGCCTGGTACCCATGAGGCCAAGAGAGGGTGTCAGATCCCCTGATACTGGAGTTTTGACAGACAGTTGTAGGTGCCACATGGGAATCACACTTGAGTCATCTCTCCAGCCATTGGCTCATGTATTTTTACTTAAATTTTAAACATTACACTTTATGCTTTGCACATTACACACTGTAACTTAAGCTACAGAAACACAAACACACTCCATTTTAAAAAACATCCAGGGTTAAAGGCTAGGCTCACGGGCAAAGTACAGACGCAAGCAGGGTGGTGGTAGCCCATGGTGAGGCGGGTCTCTGAGTTCGAGGCCAGCCTGACAGAGTGTGCTCCAGGACAGCCAGGGCTACACAAAGAAACAAACAAAACAAACCACCCTAGCCCACCCCCCACACACGGAAAGGCTGAATCATGGAGGTTTGGAGACAAGTGTTGTCGGAGGTCACAGAAGCCTGGGCTCACAGCACTGAAGGAAGAGGGAACAGCAAGTGTGAAGAGAAACAGCAGAGAGGCCAGAGTAGGAGTGGAGTGAGTGGAGGTGAGCATTTTAGCAGGTAAGGGCAGAAACAAGCATGCCCTGTAGGATCCCGGGACCTCAGTGAGAAGCGAGTCCAGCTTTGCTATACCCACTAGCAGGCGCAGAGGCTGGGAGCCCAAGAGTGCACTGCAATAATGCAGGCAAGACAGAATGCCGACCTGGAGGTGGTAGAAAGGCCGCTCACCCCTATTGACCTTCCTGCCTCTATAATCTGAGTATTGCACTTAGGGGGCATACAACCACACCCAGTTTATAGGCTGCTAGGGTTTGAGCCCAGAGCTTCATGGATGCAGGACAAACACTCTGCCAATGAAAGCTTTAGCCACAGAGACAAAAAGACAGCCACCAGATGGGGAGAGGGCACAGCAGAATCAAGGACAACCTGGCAACTGGTAGAATGAAGCTGCGCTTTATTATGGTTGTTGACTGTGACTCAGAGGAGATTTAAAGGACAAGGCAGACAAATCATCATGAAGACAGTTATAGGACCATCAAAAGGCAAAGCACCACTCAGAGGTCGGTAGGCAGATGCACTCTCAGCCACGGAGCTATATTTTGCAGTCTTTAAAATACAGATATTTAAAGCCCTGGGAAAGATGAGATCACCTGGCAGTGATTTCAAGCAGAGACATCAGAGAATGTGCAGCAGTTATGTATGGGGGTACGAGGGGGGGAGGGGGGTGTGGGGTGGGGGGGGGGGGGGAGGGGG